TACGCTCAACTTACCTTCCGTTTCGCGGTGGAGGATCGATAGATGGGGTCGGGTTGCAATACGTTACATGTTACATTTAAATAAACGATCCTGTATTGTGACAAATTTGATTGGTATACAATGGTTTACAAGGGAGGTTGATCGTATCACGCCACGGGGGATGGCACGGGGGATAACGAAGGTTCGAATCGAAGGTACAAGCGTAAATGGAATGCAGCGATGAATGAAAGCGCAAACTGGAAGACGCTATTTTTTTCTCTTTATTCTCTCCGTCCTTTGCCGTGGAAATTCTTCTTCTCCCCTCCCTCTCTCTTCCTCTCGCTTTCTCTGTCCATCTGGCGCGGTCTCGTTTCATTCACACATGTCAACGCTGCGCTTGTTCAACGGTGCGAGTTTCAAATTACACGCTTCCTCCTGTTTCGCGTGGACGCGTTTCGCGGGCATTCCGCTCGACAGTTCCGCCACAGGAAGTACATCCTTGCGAATCGTTTAGTCGGAAGTACCGATGATACATGCTGCGGGCAGGCGCGCCGAGCAAAACGGCAATGCTTCGCTCGCGCGCTCGCTCGCTCGTCGTGACGTATAAAAATGCGGATTAATCGGTTCGGATGATGCGGAGGAGATCTCTTTCTCCGAGATCATTCCTGCTCCGCGCGACAGCTCGGAGCGACACACGTAATCACACGTAGTTACACACGTAAACGTAATCAAGTGGTTACATAGGGAAACCGCGAGACCTCCTCGGCACGTCTTCGCCGGACGGTGCGCGTTCGTCGGATCAGGGAGCGCTCGCGATCTCTTATCGACAACGATCGTTCGATTTGAAAATCGATCCTCCCGGGTGCGCTTTCGGAGAGCGTATCCGAGGAGCCCATCCAACGGAGAAGTGCGACGCCGAGTTTCCGCGATCCGAGGACGAGGGGAATCCGTTGGGACACCCGTTACTGTACGATCGTGGATATTCGCGCGCGGCTCATTTCGTGGCTCATCCGTGCAGCTCGTTGCACCGGGACGGTGCGCGCGCGCGGATTGTGTGGCGTTGCTCGACGACCGGCTCTCTCGGTCGTCGGGGTCTCCTCTTCTTCTCTTTCCGTAGCGTAGTGAGCTCGGGGATAGAAAAAGTCACGATGAACATCAACACGAGAAACGTTAACGGAACGTTCGGCACGACGTCGCGCCGACGATCGATCGGATATCTCCCGATTATCTTAAATCACTCGCGCGTACGTCCTCGCCTGAGACGCGCGCAGTCGGCTGGGCGCGACGTACGGAATACATGCGTTCAGCAAATCACACTGGGATAGAGTCGACGTAGTCTCGGGGAGGGTCTCGCTCGGGACGCTCCTTTCCCCTTTCCGAACTTCCCTCCTCGTAACATTATTATGCACGACGTTTATCATTATCCTCATTAACGACTTAATACCCGATACGCATTATCTATCGCTTTATTAATCGGTGATAGATAACAATTAATCGTAATAAGAAATTCTGACGATATGATAGGTTGATCGCTCCCGACGGCCGCCACGAGTAAACGCCGCGCGACGGTGTCCCGATCAGCACGCTCGTTTCTCACCCGCAAGTCGTCAACGGCTTCTCGAGAAGGGAGCCGCTCTCGCGCTGGACGATGCGAGAGACGTTTCAGTGATGCGCAACGATGAATTTCACGACCGAAGCGATCGATACGCGTTGCGTATGTAGAAAATTTACGAAACGCGAACGCGCGCGACGCTGTGTTTATCTCGTAACGAATAACGTTACATCGCCGTCGAAGCGTCATTTCGTTGTAAGATGGTACGGGTGGGTGTGTGTGTGTGTGTGTGTGTCGAACGGGATGTATCGCGTGGGAACTTTCAATAACCGCGGGATGGCGAAGGGACGTTCGTGCTAGATCGGTAATCCGGCCGACATTTACGGTATTTACATGGGAATTGGAAACGCGTGTCGCGCCGCGATTCAGCGCGCGTTGTCTCCGTTGTACGGGCGAAGCGCACTTCGGAGAGAGAGAGGAGTTATTCGGCTTTACACGTGGCGGCTCTCGTAATTTGGCTCCCGATCTCCCCCGCCGTCACGTCCGACACACTGAGGCGCGAGCTAAACCGCGGTTATTTTTATATGCGACGGGCGTCCTCCGACCGCTTGAAAATTCAGCACGATTCTAATTATCGATCTGGCTGGCATCGCAACGGTTACGGCTCAGCAGCGCGGCTCGTTCACGTGTGTCACGTCGTCCGAAATTTGCGCGCTGATTGATCGGCGCTTCGGCAGTATCGCCCGACGTATTTGAAAATTCATCGGAAATACGAAGATCCTCGTTCGCGCGAACTCGATCCTCTCGAGCCTTTTTTTCTCTCTTTCCCAACGTCGGATCATTTATTCGCGAATCGAATTGCGCGCTGTAAGAAAACTTGGAAAACTTCTACGCGTGAAAATTCTACACTGACGGTTCACCTCGACCCGCGGAAGGTATTCAAGTAGCCGCGAGAGTCGTAGGATTTTTCTAGAAATTCAATCGTCATCGGATTCACCGGCTGCTGTTCGCGTCGTACGCGTGTCGGTTCTTGCATCTTCTTCGTGTATAAAATGACAAATGATTATTCGAAATATGCGAGGGCTCGCGCGCGCGGCCGGTCGATGAAGTGTCGAAAGGCGGCTTGCGTAATCACAATCTGCGCCCTTAAGAGCGCACATTCGTGGCGTGCCTATCGTAGATAATGCAGCGTCGAACTATATGGGCGGGAGATATCGTCCCTTGGCACGAAAACCATGGCCGTAAACGTCGTTTCTCGAGCCAGATCGCGGCAATCCGTCGACGCACGGTAAGTCCCGTCGGTGCGACGGGTTCGGAGACGGTATGAGAAAAAGACACGAGCGAAACGGCGGCCGGAGCCGGTTCATCCATCGATCCAGACCGGCGCGATCTGGCGGTGTTAGGTACTTTATAACGCGTTTACACGATTAACCTAGATCCACATACCACACGCATCCTTCTCACACACGTGACTCGCGCTCTCTCTCGCACACACCTTACTTGCGCGATAAACGTCCATAAGTACGTATATTTATATTCATATTTATACTTTTTGTATTTATATATATATTTGCATTCATATTTATATTTATATTTATAGGTATTTATATATATATATATATATATATATATATTTATATATATATATTTATTTATATTCATGTACTATTCCGCTTTTTCGCAGCATTCACGCACCGGTGCGATTGTACACCCGTTTCTCTCAGTTAAAAAACTCATGTGACCCCGCCTCCCTCTCGGCGGCGTCAGACTCCACTCTCTCGCATTGCACAAAATAGTGTTACCCCCTTATACGGTAATCGATAATCGTAATTCGTATAATAATATATTTATATGTTATTATAATAACTATGGTAATATTAGTAAGAATAATAGTAGCGTCGTCGTCACGATCGACAGTCTCTCTCTTTTGGCACGTGACGTGTCTAAATAACTCCGTGAAGACGGCGAACTGGGTATCACCCGTTCGCGATCCTCCTCCCTTCCACCCGCGAGAACACCCTTATCATCGGCGCGTTCCCCCACTTTGTTTGTTATATGGCAGTAAGTAATGCGGTACGAGTTTACGTTTTGGCTGCACATGCATCCATCCCAGGACCATCATTATACTATCGCAATCGCCGACGGTGAGAATTTGTTTTTGCTTCTTTTGATTCTTATTTGATTCGCTTACGGTTATTTACAATGTACAAAGGATTATCGGGCCAACAGGGAATCCCGCGACCCCGCTTCTTATCGCCGCTGCAGCCGGTCGGAAATACTTTGATCGACCGCCGGCCGATGATTTCGCGGCGAAACACCCCGCCGATTTCTCAGGATGTAGCTGCCGCTTCCTCCGTGAAGTCCGCGCTCCGATATACTTTCATTATGTGGGGATTTATGCTATATTTATACGTACGATATCTTGTTTCGCTCATCGCTTAACGACAGTTACCAAGAAGCTGTCGAACAGTCGGTTCTCGAGATAATGAAACACTTTTCGGCCGCGATATTACACGCGGTTCGAGAGGTGCGGTCGCTTTGAAAAAATAGCAATATTGCGATGGACCGATGCCAGTTTCCAAGGGGAGGGTTCGTAGAAAATTTCTCGAATTAAACGCGCCCTTTGCCGAAGCACGTGACTTCAGTGAAGAAAGTAGTAGCCACGGAGAGGCGAGCGGGTTCAAGTGTTCAGGAATTCCAATTCGGTTGTCCCGCACGGTCGACCTCGGCTGTCGGCCGCGAAAATAATCCGAAGCCTCGAGTGACCCACTCGCGATTCCAACGTACCGACGGTCCAATTATCATTGGCATCATCATTCTGCATTGCGACAATCGCGTTCCAATATTTATTAGGAAAGAGGAGGGGAAGAGGGGCACTAGTCTCTTAACTTCCTAAGTCTCGCGAGTACGGCGCTTCGTGCGTCGAGATCGATACGTAATCACCAAGCTCGGGACTGCATCGCGAATTATTACAGCGCAAAGTCGGCTTCTCCTTTTCTCTCTCTCTCTCTCTCTTTTTTTCTTTTCCTTCCCTTTTCAATGCCTTAGACTCTTACGATTATTGCTCTATAAAAATATCAGTGCTTCCGCGTTCCAATCGCTCCCGTCACTCGAGCTCGGATTATTCGATTCCCGGTAAGAAAGTGAGAGGGGGGGGGGGGNGGGGGGGGGGGGAGAGAGACCGTGAGAGGCTCTCTCGCCAGCTCGTCGCGATCCCCGCCGACAGCCGAGGTCGCCGTAGCGGAGAGACGCTTCCTTCGGCGTCTACGTGATGTACTCCGGCTTGTCGTTCAGGCCGGACCAGTGCCGCGGGGACGCCGGCGTCCACGGCACCGCCACGTCGAGCGTCGCGATGTTGAGCTTCCGCTGGAAGATGTATTTCGGGCTCTTCTTCCTCGGACTCTTCGGCGGCGACTCAGCGAACGTGACGCTCCTCCGTGGTCTCCTGGGCGGCGGGGGTGGCGGCGGGGGTGCCACCAGCGGCGGCGGCGGGGGCGTGGGCAGCGAAACGGCGGGCGAGTCGCTCGGGCTCTCCAGGTAGTAGTTTACACCTGGGTATGGGTATTGCTGTGTACCTGCTCGCCCTCGGTATTCCCAATCGCGTTTGCTGGAGTGTAGTACTGGAAATTGCAAACGGTACGGTATTACGACAGCGCGTCCCCGCGACCTCGCTCGCGGCTGGTGACCTTCTTGTCCTGGCAATTTCTCGATTATCGCTTCTCGTGCCGCCGAGACAATGTTCAGATTTCGCGGTGAACTCGGAGACACGAGGAATGAAACACGACATGTACTTTCCACAATTCGCGTACACATGTATCGTTATATTCTTCTTCCAAACGTTTATTCTTGTGACGTTACGCTATTTTTTTGGTTCAAAGTCAAGAGAAGTGAGGTCGTAAGTGATATCGCGAGATTGTAGATTATTTCGTCCGGTGAGATCTCTCTCCGATATACGGGGATTAATGCATAGCGATTAGATAGTTTGAAAGGTCGGCCATCCGGATAATCTCAAAACTGGACATTATACGGTATACCAGCTCAGACATAGATATCGACAAGAGACAGATAGGAGTTTCGTATGTGACGGAATTTCCAGTGGTAATTCATGGCAGAATTGTGTGAAGGACTGCAGGACTACGAGTGTGTGATTTCTCTAATGTGTGAGAGTGAGACCTGTTAGACTCCATTTTCTGCTTCTCGAAACTATACATCGCGACTATGCACGACTCAGTGCGACTCATCGCGATGCATATCTGACTGGGTAAATATACCGTGCCGATTTCTCACTCACGTTTGCCGTCGTTGGTAATCTCGTTGTTGTTTTAGCGCAAACTCGAAATTCAATCGTAAAACTTTCACATTTCGAAACGTCTTACTTTCTTCCTTCCTTGCCTTCGGAATAGAAATTCGAGCCAAGATCGAGAACGTAGCCGAGTGTTACAAATTGTGACGACGGGGGTGTCGCCGTCGCAGTTTGCAACACGACGGACGTGTATTCGCGACGGACAAGATTTTTGTTTGCCTTGCTCTATGGACGGACACGATCGATCGAGCGCACATGCACGCTGATACAAAGAGAACGAGTCAACAGAAGCGACCCCGAATTCACGCGTTTGTCTGCCACCCCTCCATAAGCTTTGCATAATGAACTTGAAAAGCGACATGCAATGCGCCGTACCGTACCGCACACCTTGTTTACGGTGCATCGTAACTTGCCCAAGCCGTGCCAAGCCACCAGCGCGAGTGAACCACTAAAGAGAGAAAGAAAGATTGCGCGCACTCGATGAAGGGGGAAGTGATCGGACGAGCGAGTGTGGGGGGGAAGGTGATGGGACAGAGAATGCGAGTTCGACAGTACACACACAAAGACAATCGGTCGATTGGCGCGTGTAGGAACAGAGATTTTATAGTCGTAGTATCTCTAAAATAGTATTGCAGTGATAGTAATATATTTATCACGGCGCTCACACACTGAAAGAAGATTATATTCAAGTGGCTGCCACATTCAAGTAAATATTTACTAAAGAGTATCGGAGTAATGATTTCACTTGGATTGAATAAGTATTACTCGAATGCAGCGCATTGAATGGAAACGGTGCTACATTCGAGTAATATCTATTCAATCCAAGTAAAATAATTACTCCAATACTCCTTAGCGAATATTTACTTAAATGTAGCATTTTTTCTTTCGGTGCATAAAAGTAGAGATTCGTGACCGATTTGATCAATCTTCCTCGAGACGTGTAACATCCGTCAAATTTGTAAATTTTGGCGAACCGTCGGAGACGAAAAATGATCGCCGATCTAATTTGCACGTACGTTGAGAAATATTCGCGGAAGATTGCTGAAATCGGGCGCAAAACGTCGCGATGCCTAATATTAAACGGCTGCGAAGAAGTTCGAGAGGAAAGCAGCTTCTTGCACAGATACATATACTATCCAACTCTGAGAGGAGCGTAAAGGATACACCGTGCAGGCGTATATTTCTATTTACATAATAACATCGACACAGCAATGTATTTCTATTTTTCCTCGAGAGCCCAACAACATTGACGAACTAACATCGTTCATCGGTACCTTTTGTAAGCTGCATCGATAAATTGGTTCCTCAGATTTTAACGCGAGTTTAGAGATGCGCACTAGGGGAGATTTGTACGCGTACGATAGACATCGGCTTATCCTTCGTTGCGGGACAGACAACATTCTAGGATCCGGTGTGAACCGCGGAGGTATCTCTCATGCAGAAGCTTCTAACACACAAAGCGAAAGAGAGAGAGAGAGAGAGAGAGAAAAAAACGGAGTGAGAAGTCATGCGAACTCGAAGCGGAGCCGTGTAACGCGCGCTCGCGTAGAAAAGCGAGCGGGACGTCGAGCTGAGATTGCGTCGCTCGCGAGCGCGAGCGTTACGGACGGGGCCCGCGCGGACGAAACACGACGAAAGCGAGAGAAACGAGTGTCGCAAAAAGTGGAATTAAAATTAAGGGCGAGAGTACTCACATATGGTCCCGGGAAAGGCGCATGCATCCTCCGTCTAACTCTGCAGTCCGTACCACTAGAGACAAAAACCGAAAGTAGAACGAAAGGCGCGAACGAGCAAATCCGCACGTC